GGCTGATTTATGGTTATTTAAATTCTGAATTGATGCCGAATGATGCTGAATTGAGGCCAATTTTAGGCTGATTTATGATTATTTAAATTCTAAATTGATGCCAAATGATACTGAATTGAGGTCAATTTTAAGCTGATTTATGGTTATTTAAGTTTCAAATTAATGCTGAATGATGCTAAATTGAGATCAATTTTAGGTTGATTTATGGTTATTTAAGTTCTGAATTGATGCCGAATGATGCTGAATTGAGATCAATTTTAAGCTGATTTATGGTTGAATTTAAGTTCTGAATGGCTATGTTCAATTGAGATCAATCAGTGTCTATCAGCACCTATTTGTGTTGATTAGAAATATGGTAAATCAGACATAAATAGTATCAAAATCAGCCTAAAATTGGCCATCTGATTTTTAGCTGATTTGAACTATTTTGACTAGTGTTATTGACAAGACTTTTGCTTCACTAGAAATCAAATTTTATACCCTTTCCCATCACTTTCCGTTATATTGTCCATAATAAATTCTCTGACCTTCATAGTTCAATGGCTCAAATTTAAATTTACAATGATGAAATATATTTTGATTGCTTAGTAACTTCTTTATAGCATCAAAAATTTGACAGTAATAACGGTAATATATTTCCTTTTTATATAATATAATAGGGATCTTTTTAAAGAAATATGTGATACATTCATCTGATCTAATAACTTATGGCCCTTTTTTACAGACGTTGATAAAATTATATCATTATGATAAATCTTTTTTGAAAATTTAAGTATATTGCTACCACATATATCTGATAAGTTTCATTTGATAAATAACTCCATAAAATCTCTAAATTTATTACTTGAAAATTCTGATATGTCTATTGTTAAATTACTAATATTAAAAGACTCAAGAATTGGACTTGTTTTAACGAAAGCAATAAATACTCAATCTCGTCATTGTCAATCATCTACTATACTGTATATAGATATTAATATAATATTACATTAAATAACTATATAATATATTGATCTTCTACCTTTTCTTCAAGTTGTTCTTTGTAACTAAACTCCTCCTTTTCTTCAAGTTATTTGTCATAACTTAACTCCTCTTCTTCAAATTATTCTTCGTAACCAAACTTTTTCTCTTCTTCAAGTTGTTTGTTATAACTCAACTCCTTTCTTCAAGTTATTCTTTATAACTAACTCCTCCTCTTCTTCAAGTTGTTCATCATAACTCAACTCTTCTTCTTTAAGTTATTCTTTATAACCAAACTTCTCCTCTTCTTCTAGTTATTTATCATAACTCAATTCCTCCTCTTCTTTTAGTTGCTTATCATAACTCAACTCCTCCTCTTCTTCTAGTTGTTCATAGGTCTATTCTACTTCTTCAGAAATTTTTTGTAAAGCTCTGTCAACTACTGCATTATTATAAACCTTTACATGATTTTATAGCGAAGCAAGATGACTAAACTCTCTTTCACAAGTTGAACATATATAACTTAGCATTTTTTTAGTAAAATAAGATGTGGATTTAACTACTAAGTTAAATTAATGTGATGAATTTAAGGATTTTAAAACATCATGATATTTAAACTGAATTGAATTAATTAATGATCAATTTACGTCCTCATCATTAAATTAATCAACGAGATTAATCATATCATCTAAAAATATGAAAATAAAAAGAATCAAAAAACACCAATATCTAACATCTTTTTTATTCTCTTTTTTTCACCTATCATATTTACCATAATGAGTACTATTAATTATAACGACTTAAAATGTCCAAAGATAAGATCAATAATAACAAACAAAAAGGTAATTATATATTATTTATTAATTATGTTTAGTTGATTTATTTCTACGTTTATTAATTTGTTATACTTTCTTTTAGACTCTGAAAAATAAAGGTATGAAGAAAACTTTTTTGTTTATTGAAATAAATTAAGTGTACTAATTTTTAAAATTAAACATAGTATTATACGAAAGAAGATATAGATGATGATGATCCAAAGGATGACATCGATCTCTAAGAAATCATATATGTCTTCTATGTCATCTATGTCGTCTATAGCATATATTTCTTTT